CACTCGAAAACATTGTAAATATCCTTTATTTTTATAGTAAACTATCATATTTATAGTAAATTGTGATATTGACTACTTTTGTCTTACATTACGCGTGTAATGTTCGGTGTTTGCAGACACAATATAAAGGGTCCATTTTTTAAAATATTTTTAAGTGTTTAATAATTAAAAAATTATTTTTAAACATCATTTTTTTTTATTTCAAACACTCGGAAACATGGTAATCCAATGGGCTCCATTTTGATGATTGTGAGGAGAACCAGGTGTGGGCTCCACTTGTCTTCTTGTTATCACGTCCTGACCTAGGGTCCTTAAAATATCAGGATCGGGCTTGTCTTTAAACTTCTAACTTTGTTTGGTTATTGAAGAGAAATGAAAACAAAGAGTAGAGAGGAAGAAGACAAGCATGGGATGAAAAAGAGAACGGTGCAATTGACGTGATATCATATTGTATCATCAAACAATAAAGGGTTTCATCCTTTGTTTGAATAATTAGGTTAATTACTCATTTGGTCCTCTCACTTTCATCTTAAGCCCAAACCAAATCCCATTGGGTCCAAAGCTTCATAAACTAAGGGAAAATTATTCTAAGGCCCAATAAAAAATGGAAACTTCTAACCCGTATTTTGGGGCGTTACATAGACCCTAATATTAAACTTGGATACACAATTTGTGTTCGTAGATAATTTTCTCACGACGCTCAATTCTGATTTGCGATTATCGGTGGTCTTTCGGTAGTTTAATCCCTTGTTATGGTTCGTTTACAATGCAATCAGATTAGTTCATATGTTCCTAATTTGTAATTTTCTATTAAAAAATTGACGATGGTTTGAGCTGGACGTTAACTTGCTATCTGTGATATGATAAAATCTGATCCCAAAATTTCAAACGACTATCATATATCAATCAATAAGTTAACATCCAACTCAAATTGTCATCAAATTTTTAACAAAAAAGGATGAGTTTGGAACATATGAATAGTCAGGTGATCATTTTATAACTTTTAATAGTCAGATAATTCAACAAAACAATGTCATATAATTGATTACCATTTGTGTACTGTACCCTAACTAATAGTCAATTACCCAACTTGCATCTACAAATGGAAAATCATAAAAGAGTAAATTATTACAATTAATAATAATTACAAAGTTTTGTGCATATAGCCCTGAACCAATGATTTTGCAACATTGTGGTACCCCCACCTGACCTTGTAACCTCTTAGTGCTAAAAAAAACAACCACGATGAACTCTAAACAGAATCCCCATCTATGGCTATAAAACCCTAACCCCAGGGTTCTTCCCTCCTCACACTCAATATTTTTCTCATCCAAGAATGTGGTATGTATATATACATATATACTTAGCTACGTTCTGTTTCTCTCTTCTTCATCACTTCTGTTTTTATTCTCATAAACCCTAGAAAAAAGTATTTATATGGAAAATTTGAAACTAATTGTTTGTTTTCAGGTGCTAAAACAAAAACAGTTTTTATGATCATGAAGAACTCAGTGATGATCTTTCTTGCCCTGGTTTTGCTCTTGACAACTCTGGGAGTTGATGGAGGCATATCCCGTCCATACGACGACGAGCTCGTAGCCGGTAGCCGTCTTGGTCGAAAAGCCGACGCTGGCAGAGGTACTTCTGCGAGTTTGGCTGACGAGGAAGACGACGACACTAACCCGACGTTCGGTCAGTACGGAGGTAATACCCATCCGCACGATCGAGTCCATCATGTCTACATAAATGAAGACAATCCTTATGCTCCGAAGCCCAAGAAAACACCATAGTCGCAAGTTTTGATGCTTGAAACTTGTCAAGACTTTGTTTAGATATAAATATATGTGTGTGTATGGTCCGAGAATAACAATGGATTAATTAACATGTTAGAATATCAGCCATGTATGGCACACATGTTGATTAAGTTCCCAGAAAGAAACCTTCAGTTTTAATTGATATTTGTGTTTGATATATGCGTTATTTGGTCTGCTGTGTAATATAAAATCAATTATTATAATATACAGTTAGATTGATAAAGAATATCTATATTTAAATATGATAATACTTGCTAGAAGATAATAATATATTTGTTAAAAAAGGTAACCAAAAATATAATAATCAAATTTATATAAAAAAATCTTTTAGAAAAAATTATGGAAAAAAAGAAAAATAAAAATTCTCACTAATATAAAAAATAGAAGAATATAAGAGGAATTCTCGTGAATAACTTTTCTAATCGTACTTTCTTATATTTATGTATAGGGATAGTTAATTCATTATAAAGAAAACTTTCATCTTGATATGAATTCTAAAAGTTTGAAGAGTTCGAGACAAAATCTCAAATTCGATGAATTATCAAAACTCGATAAAATTAATTCTTCGTATTAATAAATAAATTTATCACCTAGAGTTTATATATAGATTTTCTATATTTATCTAACTATATATTATAATAATTGATTCCATGGTATTGTTTCTTATTTTACTTATAATATGGGAAAATTGTGGATCTCATTCAAGTCATATCACATACCAAGTTGCAATCAAGATTGTTAATAAATATAATTTTATATTATTTTAGTGGAACAACCGATCATTAATGAATGACTAACTTAATTGATAAAAAAAAACAACTAATTTTGACTCCTTTGTAAAATTTGTAAACCAATTAAACATAATAAACACTATCACTTTTAATTGTTATTATTTGTTTAAACAAGGATAATAATAAATGTTTGAAGTAATTATAAAATAATAAATGTTCGATTTTTTAGTCAATTAATAATAATATACATATATTGTATATACAACTGCTCAAATTCGGATTCTCTAAAAAGAATAATATTCTCTTTTAATTAAATCATTCAATAAATTTAAAATATAATCGAAAAATTAAGTTGCACTAAAAAGAGTTCAAGACGGATAATAGGGACGTTGCTAATGTCTTTAATGGCACGGATGATATCCTTGTTGGTAACTCGTTGGTTTCGGCTGTCCATTAAATCCCGACCTGATCCGAACTCGAAATTTAAAAAAAAAATCCAACCTAATTGGGTCGGATCAGATTAAAATGGTTCGAGTCACATGTCCATCCCTACTCCTATCTAATTTGTTCTAAAAAAAAAGAGTTCAAAGCGGATATATATATATATATATATATATATATGAGAATCCACTTACATATAATGTAAATTTTTTAATTTTATATCTTTTCAAGATCTTTGGATAAGTGAAATAGATGATTGAGAATATCTATTATTTTTCGGTAAATATATACAAAACAAGGGTTCAGGGGATTAGGATTATAGTAATATAATGATCGACTCCATAATTAAATAATATCGAAAGTAAAACTTAAACTATGATTTTTATGACCAAAATTTATAGTTAAAACTATATAGTATAGAAACCACGTGAGATGGATTAAACAATTAATTTAAGCCTTTCGTTAATGATTTCAATCAATTGAACAAATTTAAAATTTAACTATAAACTAAATAATATGTTTAACCTATTTTGATATAACAAATTTAAGGGCAAAATGTTTCTAGATTAAATTGAATTTATACAAAGTTTTCAATTATAATTCAAAGTTCATAAAACTTGAATTTTAACACAAAATGAATTTCAAGACTAACAGTACCGATAATGTACTTACAGTATCGATACCACATGAACAATATTAATATTGTTTTTGTAGTATTGATACCCAAAGTAAGGAAAGTATCGTTACTCTCTTGGTAGTACCGATATTGTCCTTTGATTTTAAATGTGTTAAGATTCCAGTAGCCAAAGTTGGTACTGATACTCTAAGGAATATCGATACTACTTTGTAGTAGTATCGATACTCCAAACCCTAGTATCGATACTCCCTGTCCAAAGGTCATATAACAGCTAGTTTTCATTAGAGTAGTACCGATAGTCCCAGCCCGAGTATTGATACTCTTGTGTCTGGACAATTTAATTTTTTGCAGATTTTTAATCCCAACGGCTCCAAAACATCCTCAACGACTAGAAACGTCCACAAACACATTCTAACATATAAAATAAAGTTCAAGACACTTGAAGAATATTACAACACCTATCCAAGTAATCCACATTAAGAGAAAAACTATTTCATTCTTATTTTTCCTTTTCTCTTGTACATAGGTGTTTTGGTGAGCTTAAATTATAAACTCCTACCTTTTAGAGGTTTTCTTGTTTACATTCTTTATTTTTTTGTAAAATGGGTTGTGGTTCTAGTTTAGCCATTGAAAACTAGGGAATTGTAAAAGATTACTCTTGAGCCTAGAAAAATAAAGAACAAATTAGTAAATTTGTTAGAAAATCCTTAGTGTTGAGCTAAGGTAGTGTATGTAGACTTAGTTGAAAAGTCGAACCACTCTAAATCGTTGTGCAAATTTCCTATCCTTTCTCTCCATACTCCCAAAATTTTTATTTGGCCAATTCACCCCCTCTTGACACTTTTTCGGTTGATCAATTGAGTTTCATAAATCCCAACATAATAAGACTTTGACATGCTACCATTTTTGGGTTATCATATCACCAAATCGTTAAAAATAATTAGAAAATAATTAGAAAATTAATATATATATATATATATATATATATATATATAAAGGAAAAATTAAAAAGAATATGCAGAAAATAAATTATCAATATAATGGAACATGGATGTATGATTTTTATGTTAAGAGATGTAAATGCATACAATATAAAAATTAACTATTAATAAAAGATATATAAATTATATAAGAATTTAAAATTTAAGAGATGATTATGGGTTCATTAGATCTAGGAACGAACGCATAATTTTATGTTAGGGAATAAACTTGAACTTTTAAAATTTCAAAGGGACACCCTTAAATTTATAATTTTTTAGGCGGAAAAAATATATTTTCAATAAAAATACATATATATATTTTAAAATATATAGTAATTTTAAGTTTTTTAGAAGGGTCCCTCGCTATTCTATCCATTCCTTATCGGATTTCTCAATCAATACAACAATAAGGATAAGTAAAATATAAAAGAAATATGAGGACAAATCCCACAATTTGAACAACTAATTTCTAATTATATGCACCAAAATCAACACCCAAAATCTTAAGCAAACCATCGAAAGAAACACCATCATTTTCATCGCCACCAAATCTGATCATAGCCTTGATATCTTCGTCTTCAACAGATAAGTCAGCCCATTCCATATAATCTTTCAAATCCTCATAGCTCAATCTCCCATCTCCATCTTTGTCCATAACCTTAAAAGCATCCCCCATCACCTCAAACCCCGCCGCCGTTTGTTTTGGCTCCAACAACCCCGAAACTCTCTCGAACTCATCGTACTCGACGAACCCGTCGCTGTTGGAATCCGCCAACGAAATCATCGCTCCGATCATTTCGTCGTCGACGTCGTGGAAAGCAGCGTTGGGAAAGGAAAACGCAGCTTCAAAGAATCCCTTCAAATCTTCTCCACTAATCTTCCCATCGCCATCTCCGTCGAGAACCTCGAATGCCGACCTGAACGCCGGACCGGTCTTCTCCGAACGGATTATGTTTTTGTCGGATGTAGTCATGGTTTGTTGGAACAGATAAACAGACCGAGAAGGATAATTAGGAAGTTAGAACGTTTTTTGTAGGTTAAGGGGTTAAGCTAAAATTTAATGCGTGATACTTTCTTTAAAAATAGGGTAAACTATAAAAAACGGACATCTTTGTTTTGTAAGGAATCACTTTTGATCATCGAAATTTAAAAAAAAATTAACGTTTTGATCACTTATGTTTAGGCACGTAAATGAATCGAACGTTCAGCGAATTGTTTGAGTACCGTTCGGCTGAAAGTTCATTTATTTATTAAACGAACGGACATGAAAAATATTTTGTGTTCATTTAATTAAATGGATGAACACGAACAGTGGGCTCGGTCGTTCATTTACGTTCATGAATGTTTGATAATATGTCCGTTCATTTATGTTCATTCATGTTCGTTCGTTTATGTTTATTCATTTATGTTTAGCCCAGTCTCTCTAAACTCATTTAAAATATTAAGGCACAATAAATTTTAATATGATACCTATTAATATTTTAAAATTCAATTAATTTTAAATACAAATAAAAATGCCCAAAACAATTAAATACAAATTAACTATGAAGTTGCAACTTATAATAATGAATTTTATGTGATTATTGTTGTTGTGGTTTATGTTTGTTTATGTTTGTTCATTTATGTTTGTTTATGTTCATTTATTGTGTTCGTTTACATCCGTTCATTTATATTTATTCATTTTTGTTCATTTATCATTTAAATGAATGAACATGAACGAACACAAACAAGAATTTTTTTGTTTGTTTATGTTCATGTTCGTTCATTTGTTCGGTTAAAGTTAAACGAACAAATATAGACATTCCCCTGTTCGTGTTTATTCGGTTCATTTATAGACCTACTTATGTTATTGATATATTATATAATATTTTGTTCACTTGTATTGTCAATTTAAAATATATTAGTCAATGATATATTAAGTATCACTAGTTTTGGCACATTTGTAAGGTGTTTAATTTTAATATGACCCTGAAGTTTAGATAGAAAATTATTTTGGCCTCTGAATTTTAGATAAAATATTAATTTAACCCCTAAATTTTAGATTAAATGTTAATTTGATGTTTGAATTTTTGATAAAATATTTTTATTGAAAGTTTAAAAGTCAAATTATGTTGTTTATAGTTTTAGGGTCAAATTAATAGAGTTACCATTTTTTATTTACATATTTAAAGTCTTTTTATCAAATTAACTGAAGTCGAAATGTTTTTATTTAGGTACACAAAAGTATTCTTTTGATCAAAGTAAGTAATTAATATATATAATCCTATTTATTTAGTTTCTTAAAAGTTCTCATATTGCGTTAAGTAAAAAATACTTTAGATACCTAAACGAAAAAGTTGTATACTTGAGGCGTTTACTTTGACTAAAAAATATTTTAGGCATCTAAATGAAAAAAAGTGATAACTTTAAATACTTACTTTAATCAAAAATATTTTAAGAGAATATAGTATTTTTTGAATTAAGCATATATATATTAGTATAAATTTTTATTTTTTTTGAAAAATTTTAAATCTAATCTTAATCTTATCTAGAGAGAGTGGAAGAGAAGACTATAGGAAAAGAAAGAGAAATGCTCCTAGTGAGTCTATAACTCATGATCTAAGAGAATACGAAGGAACAAAGACGATCAGGTTGACCAACCGACCAAGTGTACTTGTTCGGCGTAAAATTATATTAGCTTTATCTAATATTGTAGTTTTTAATATCAATTTTTCAAAAAAAATAATAATTTAATGATTGATTGTATCTATTGTGCACAACAAAAATACTATAGATATACTATGACTATATAAAAGTGATTCGAAATTGGAACACACGGCATCCATTGATTGAAGCATCTGATTCTTTAATACTAGGGGTGTATTTGGTTCGGTTTTTTACTAAAAATTGAACCGAACCGCAATAAACGGTTTTTAAAAATTTAAACTGAAACTGAAATATGTGAAACCGATTTTTTTCAATTCGGTTCGGTTCGGTAATGCGGTTTTTCATAAACCGAAAGATTTATGGTTTTTTTTGTATTTACTTTAATTAGGCATTTGAGCTTACTGCTTATGGGTAAGGGTAAGTGGGTAATCGGCTGGACTGACCAAAATTGTTTATTCGATTCAATATGGAATAAATGGGTTCCATATGGAAATTTCAAACCGAATCGAATTAAAAATTTGAATGTTTAAACCAACCCAAAACTGAACCGTATAAGGTCAATCCGAACAGAACCGAACCGTTTTACTCGGTTCGTGTCATTTTTTTCGATTTTCTCGATTTCATTACTCAGCCCTATTTAATACATTAATTAATCTTATTCTATCGATACATCAACTGATTTTATATCAAGAATATGAAATTTTATGAAATTTTATGAAAAAAATAAAAAAATAAAATTTTAAACTGTGTAAAACTAAATCATCAATAAAAATTATATAAACTATATAAAAATTTAAAATTTTCATATATACGATCACTTCGGTACCTCTTTATCTATCCTTGATTTATGTTCTATACGTTTATATTTTTTTATTAAGTTAAATGAATGATTTTGAAAATGGATGTTGAAATTAAATAATATAACAAGAACAACATTTGTTCAATTTTTTATGTTTATCATAATTTTTTAAAATTAATATATGGTTTTATTTTTATATAATTAACAATATTGTTGTTTATAATTTTTATATTATTTGAATATACTATAATTATGAATATTTATATTTAATTATTTTATATTTAACGATGTTAAATAAGTTTATTTATTATTCATTGTTTAAATTTATATTTTTATGTTCATGAACAAATTATTTATTATTAATTAGCATGTTCATTTATTTTATAAAAAAATAATATACATAACATAATTTTAAATATATATATATAAATCGACATTAATAAGATTTTATTCTTTAAATTTACACGAATCAATCGACCTCATTGATTAAAAGGATGGTTTTTATCCTTAAAGATTTCGGGTTCGAGCATCAGCGACTACATGATATTTGAGCGTTTATTATCAAATAGTTAAAAGTTACTAGAACAAATACTATAACTTGTAAGTTATACTATTAGCCCTTGTATTATATATTAGTTTTGGTAATCTCATAATGTGATTTGGTTATTTATAGCCCATATAAATTTTTAAAAAAATTATTGTTTTGAAAATTAGAGCATCATGGAGATTAAATCCACAACTCATTCATACTACATGAACTAATACCATATTTTAATTTGGTCCATTTTTTAGAGATTCTAAAATCATTATAAGGCAATATGGGTCTATTTTTAAATATGGTTAAATTTACACAAACTTAAAAGTAAGGTTGTTTCGATTTGAATCATCTAAAGAGAATAATATTCTTTTTATCACTCAGACAACTCCTTAAGTTATTTGGGTGATTACAACGTAACATTTGTTTGAAAGACTCTCAACTATTTAACGATAAATGTTGTGCTCAAATCTAAAATCTCTAGGAAAAACAACAACCCTTTTAACAACCGAGGATGTTTAATTTGTGCCTTTAGAAAAAATAAGAAAGGGGACATTTTAACTGGGTTTGAAAATCTTGCATTTAAAAGTTGGGGGCTTGGCCATTTATACTCTCTTCAAGATGCTAATGGTTTTTCTGTGGTAAACTATAAGGGCATTTTTGTTTCATTATAATTGTTTTTTTTTTTGGAAAATAAAGTATAATTTCTGGAAAATAGATTCCAAAAAATATTTTTTTGGCATTTGGATGAGGCTGCGTAATTCCATTTTCGTTGTTTGATAAATTTTTCTGAAAATATTTTTTAAAATATATTTTTAGTAAAGAATACCCACATTATAAATTTTATTGATTTTTATTTTTTATTTTTATTGAGTTAATTTTATTATTATTCAAATTTAATGTCATTCATTTTTTATAATTATCAATAAAATGAATAATTTAATTTGAATGCATTATAAATACATTGTTTTTATTAATTATGAAGCTATTCCTAAATTTATTTTTTTAGTATGTTTGTCCAGCTTTCCAAAAAAAAAAATATGCTTTAAAGATAAAATTCAGGGAAATAAAAAAAATTAAGAATTGACAATAATCACAAATACATTAACAAGTCATCGAATGATCAAAGAACTGATAAGAAAAAAAATGAACTAATTTGAATTTAGTTATCCCCATCATCTCATATAGCAGAGATAGAGAGCCAGAATTAAATATTGACAGTGACCGAAATATTAGATTATTTAAGAAAAATATAAAGACTTATTAGGTATTTAAACTCGAAATTCAATATGAAACAAGCGATCTTAGTGATTAAGGGATTGTTGTCATCCTTGAGGTTCCCAGTTCAAGTACGCATGTAGGGGTATGAGCGTTCATTGTCAAATAGTTGAAAGTTGAAAGTCTTTGTACATATATTACCTTATATTCACCCTAAATTAAAAAAAAACTCAAAACTCAAAATACAACTTCTAATTTGTCTAATATTTAAACTTACAATGACTTAAATTGTAATTATACCAAAAATTTGAGAACAAAGACTTATCATTCTTTAGTTCGACCCCTACTTGATTAAATATTTAATATTTTTTTATATTTTTAAATTTAAATATTTATTTTTACATAAAACAAAATATTATTAAACCAAAATTATATCGTTCCATCTCTGCGAAGAACATAGGAAGTATAAAACGTTTTACTGTTCTGTAAGACAAGAGATGCTATCAACATTTTTCTAATCAAACAAGGAAAATCCTAGGCTCCTAAGCTGTGAATTTCAAGGTTGTGAGAGTGTTTTATTCTAATCAAACGTAAATATGTACATCCAAAAATAACATTTGCTTCATGTGCCCCCTAAAATCTTATATGACAACTTAAGCTCCTGTTTTGGTCAGCTAATTATCTTATTTTAAAAATTAACGGTGTTATTGGCATATCATCATAAGATAATACCACATTATCATTGAAACCAAAGCACCACTTCAATTGCTCTATTAAATTTTTAATGGTACCAAAACGAAATCAAAATATAAAATAGGGAATTGTTTTGAAAGAAATAATAGTTTGATGACTAAAACAGAAAAAAAGTATAGCCGGAGTACTAAATATGTAGTTTACCCTGTTTGGCAGCAAAGATGCCTAATGGTTGAATGGGTTATATTCTTCTATTACCCTCTCTGTTTTCATCCGCCATGTTAATCACTAAAGATTTTCTGTGTTCTTCAAAGCGAATTCCAGAAAGCTCCTCTTGATGGGATCCCTTTAAACTGATGATGATAGTTTAAAGGGAATTTGGCCCATCTTCGAAGAGGCGTATATTATTTGCAGGGAAATTGAGTCGCTTCGCCTTTGATCTGTATCGACAGGCGCAGTGAATAACGTCCTGCTAAATTCCTGAAACTGCGAATTGAGATGATGAAATCTGCAGTCTGTTTGATATTGGTTTGCTCGTAACAGTGGGAAGTTTGTTTCTTCTTCTTCTTCTTCTTCTTCTTCTTAAAGAGAAACTATGAATTTTTGGACGAAATTTAACCTTCTCAAAATAACCGATAAAATATCCCACGACAGAATGAAATCAATAAAAATCCAAAACACAATATTCGTGAATAAGATCAGATTCTTTGGGTTCGGCTGGGCTACTAGGTTCCACATGGTTCAGGCCAATGATGAACATGTAATTGTTTACCCCGAGCTCCCTATGGAGGAAGGACCAGGACCAGGTGGTTCTGGAAATCTCACGGTCCCAGAATGTTGTTCTCTGGGGTGTGCTCCTTGTTTCATTCTATCGGCTCAAACGATGTCGATGGAAACGGTAACACTACCAGTGACCTCAAATGAGCTGAAGTGTGGTCCGGGATGTCTCCCGGAATGTGTTTCCCGATGGAACGATACTGACCTCGAGGACCCTGTATCCATATGCTATCTGAGTGAGAATAAGGGCCTTCTAATACTAAAACGAAACATGATACCGGTCGACCTGCAGTTGGAATTTCCAATTCGATGACAGAAGCCGTGAACATAGCTCGTGTGCCGAGCCCATTGTTCTGTACAGATCATAGCGAGCCATGAGTGGAACTGTTCTGAGTTCTACCTGAGATGAACTAATAAAGTTTGAGAAGTCTCATAAGAACAAGAAAAATGAAGATTCCGTCGTCTTTTGGAACCTTTTCTTATTAACAGCTTGTATATTTATGATCCCTAAATGAATAAAGAAAGAACATAAGACACAATATGCATAAATGGGACTATCAAGTAGCCTACCTTTCTCTGTTTTCGGCTTTTCGTATTTGAATCATGAATCGATGGTGCAACCCTTCTCACTCCAACATGGAATCAGAGAACTCTGGACCAGAACTGCACTTCCATGACGAATCACACCGGCACTCCTTTCACAGAATCAACAGAAACATGAGAGATCCACCCTATGCTAAAGAGCTCAATCAACACAAACATGAAATATAATCATGTGTATTGCAGCATCTGATAAGTTGAATACAGCTCTTAACTATATGTCTGGATTACACACTACCAGTTGGACTTCAAGAACGGCCCCAAAAGAGACTTGGTGAAGGGATGATCCCATTCCACTAATTCCCACCACTCCTTTGGCTTTAGATAAATACTGAGAGAGAGAGGTCCAGATGGTTGGAGATTATCAAGTTGGGGAAGACTCGAAGGCATCCTTTTTAACTTGACAATTTTCTACCCGGGTTTCTTCCAGAGTTTGACACACCAGTACTCCACCGACACCGCAAATGCTCTTCAATTCAGGTAGATCTATCAATTCCAGTTGCCTTAAGTTTGGTAGACGAAATTCCACCGTAACCATTCCGCTTTCCAACATTCACGTTCTGATGCTATTATTTCCTCTAGTTCATCACAGTTCCAAACTCTAAGCTGTTGTAAGTGTAGCGGCACACAGTTTGGAGAGAACAACTTCTTCACATTTCGATAATCAGATATTTGAAGAAATTTGAGAGAGGAAAAGTTGCCGAGTGAGACTTGGATAAACCTGGAGAAAAGGTGTTCTTCACTACAATCAAAATAGCAGTTCTTGATATACAGTTCCTTAATGTCGCGTGGAAGCATACTCTGATTGGAATAGATATTGCAACCACATAATTCAATGTATTTCCTGGAATTAAATGTCACCACCCATCCTCTTTCGCCTACACGAATCTGGTATTCACAAGGCTCTTCTCGATCATGTAAAGCTTGGACATACATATTTAAGTCGTGCACGTCATAAAACCGACCTTCAAGGAATTCCAACTTGTTCAATCCATGAACCTCTTCTCCTCTTATCAACGTATCACCAACGATCAGCTCTTGAAGGCAAGAAAGACTCGACAGAATTCCATTGGGGATCACAATAAGGTTCCAACTCCAACTTAGATTTAGGTACTTGAGACTCAACATATTTTTCATCCCATGAGGGACAGACTTGATATCTGTTGCTTCAAGAACCAACTCCTTTAAAACTTGAAGATTCGACAACGATGGCACCTTCTTTAGATTTAGACAGTGATAAAGTGATAACCTAGCGAGAAACTTCAAATTTGATATCGAATCGGGCAGACTCGTGATGGGATTTTTTGAAAGATCAAGAATCTTGAGTCTAGGCATATGATTGAAGAATCCATCTGGAATACTCATTATACCGCAATCTGACAACAACAATGTCGTTAGCATTGGACATTTTGGTGGTGGCATTTCCAAGGGACACACAATTTCTAACTCCCAATTCCCCATCAATGAAACCTTCTCCAGATCCTTGCTCCACTCTTGTTCATCTGGTGGATTTGTTAATCTCATGCCAGCTTTTACGAAGAATCGAGGTTTCACGCTTGTTATGTGTAATGCCATCTCCCTTTCAAGATCATGCATCTTTACATGTCTTCCATATTTGATAAGAGTAGAAACTTCTAACAAACAATTATTCAAGAATCTATTCATTATTGTGCAACCCCTGTCAAACTCTTCCTGCCTACTATCCATTTCTTCTACAAGTCCTTCTGCAATCCAAAATCGAATAAGAACTCTCTCTCTGATGCTGAAATCTTCAGGATATAACGCACAACTGAGGAAACATTGTTGAATTTTTGGATCCTTTAAACGATCATGACTAAACTGCAACTGACGGAACACCTCATCTTCCAACCCAACACTTTTCTTGTAAACACTTAACTCGTTTAGTGCATTCCTCCATTCGAAAAGGTCATCAATGCCTCTCATACAAGCAGCTACAATGACTATTGCTCAGGATAGACCCGCACAACGCTTAGCAATTGATTTTGCAACTGCTTCTAATCCTGGAATATTTAGAATATCCACACGTACTTTATCCAAGAATAAGTTCCATGCATGCCTTTCCTCAAGAGGGTTTACTTTAATCACTTTACAACCCATCTGCCGACACACATCCAATGATCGCGTTGTCAACACTAATTTACTACCGGTACACAGGTCAGGAATTCTTATAATCTCAGAGGAAATCTTCTCCCATAGGTCATCCAAGATCATCACAAACCTACTCTTTCGAGAAAAAGTTTCAAACAACATGCTTTCCCTTGTTATTTCATCTTCATCACCGGAAAAAGTTACTCCGAGTTTACTTGCAATGTCTTTCTGTAGTTTAGGAATGCTCATCTGCTTGGATACACTGACCCAAATCACAATATACAACTTCCCTGTCTCTTTTAAGAGTTGATTGTTTATAACCTTTCGTATATATGCTTGTTTTCCCAAAGCCACCCATCCCCCAAACTCCCATCTTCCGAACCTCATCATCCAGCAAGCGTTGCCAAATCTCTTCAACACACGCCTTTGCATCTTCACCTGATAAAGTTATCGTCGACAAAACTTGTCCAATCCGTTAAGGATTGTCAACAACCAAACCTTCATGGAATTTACCTTGTTGAATAAGTTATTCAACTTCCCTTATCCTCTTTAACACATCATCCGCGAAAACATCCACGAGTAAGAGCTCGGCACAAAGATGAATCCCACCATTAACTGAATTATATTTAACAGAATAGAGACTCAATGGCGAGATTGTTAGGATCTAGTTCTCATTTCCTTCACTTTAATTTTACAATCCAAAAAATAGAAATCCCTTTAACGATATCTAGGATAGTTTAAATAGAAATTTTAATTTATATTATTTTCTTTAAAATATTTTAACTTTTAACATTTTAAATTTTTATTAAAATAAATAGATATAAACTATTAATTAATCAATGATAACACATATCATTGATGTAATACTTTCAGATATATTAAATTACTAACGTGATATATATTACGTTATTCAAGATGATACTGTGATAAGTATATCACATTATTTAAGGTGAAGATATGAATATGTCAGATCACTTAAAACGATGATATGTCATATATCACGTTATTTAAAATAAATAATACAATACGTGTCACATCAATAATTAAATGATATGTCATATATATCATCATAACGAGGGCATGTAGCGTAATTAACTCAAAATTTAAATATATTTCAATTTATGGTTTTCGAAATATTAAAAAAAGAAAAAGATAAAAAATGGTAGCCTAAAAGCTTAAGAAGAGCAAAATTTTACGTTATACTCTCAAATAATCACCACTCTTTTTGACGTCCCTCATGCATCCTTCTTCACCTTTATCTCTTCCAAGCTTCCCAACAAAATCTATGGATTTCATGATTTTCTTGAATTAAAGAGGATTTGCAGGTCCCCTGCTTTTGTCCATTTTTCTCATTTCTTCTCTTCCAATTATTCTCTCGAACATGAAATCCATCTCCAATTCCTTGTTTTTCGCACTCTGTTGTTGTTGTTCCTTCACCATGAACACGTTTCATGTTCTTGCAGAAAATGGCCCCGAATCCGAACCCGTGGCTTACGTCCTTTCTTGCGGCGGCGAAGACGGCACCGATTCCGACGGACGAAAATGGATTCCCGACCAAAAGTTTCTATCTTCATCCGAAAGAAAGATGATACGGAAGCCGCCGCGGCTCAATTCCAGGACCCTTCTTTGCCATCGACAGTTCCATACATGAATGCTCGGATTTTCCGATCATCGTCGACGTCGTACAAGTTCCCGATCTTTACGAACAGTCGCCTATGGCTTCGGCTCCATTTTTACCCCACTACTTACGCCAACCTCGACCCTTTCGGCTCGTATTTCTCCGTTTTCGCCAACGGGGTCACGCTTCTTCATAACTTCAGCGCGGCCGTGACCGCAAAAGCGTTCACACAGGCATATATATTAAGGGAATTCTCTTTGACGTCGACCGGATCGGGCAATCTCAACGTTACGATCACTCCCGGTAAAGAGTCATATGGTTTCATCAATGGCATTGAAGTGATCCCTATGCCTGATATATTCAACCGGCCTGCTGTTCTTGTTGGATATAGTAGTGAGACTCTTGATCTACAAAGCTCAAATCTGCAAACGATGTTCCGGTTAAACGTAGGCGGACAGTTCATCACACCGAACAACGATTCTGGCCTTACTCGAGCATGGTACGACGACTCGCCGTATTTGTTCGGTTCCGCCATTGGTGTCACTTCTCAGGCCGATAAAAAGGTTAAGATTGAATATACAGAGGATGTAAAGGAAGACATTGCCCCGGTTGGTGTGTACAGTACGGCGCGGTCGATGGGACCGGATTCGAAAGTTAATCAGAAATACAACCTTACTTGGATCTTTCAGGTTGATGAAGATTTCACATGTTGTCAGGTTACATTTTTGTGAGTTTCTGCTTACCAGAATCAATGAAAGAGTGTTTGATATTTTTCTTAACAATCAAACAGCACAACTTGGGGCTGATGTGATTGCATGGTCTGGCTCTCTGGGCATGCCGGTTTATAAAGATTATGCAATCTATGTTCAAAATGGGACCAATGAGATCTGGGTGGCATTGCATCCCGACGAACGTTCTAGGCCGGAGCGTTACGATTCGATCCTTAACGGATTGGAGATTTACAAAGTTAACAACACGAAAGATAATTTGGCCGGTCCGAATCCGGTGCCGTCGGAAATGCTTACTAATGCCGAAGCGGCGGAGAAACAGTTTGCAACAACGGAATCTAAAGTTGGAAAACTGATTGGTGGGGTTGCTGGAGGGGTTGCTAGTTGTGCTTTAGTGGTAGCGTTGGTTGTTTTTGTTAAGAAAAAGAAGCATAATGTTGGTCCTGGCAAAACCGTCAACCCGTTGCCTGATTACGGCAGTTCCCGTAAATCGGGAACGACCGGGAAACCGAGTACCGGAAGCCACCTTATGAATATTGCCGCCGGTCTCTGCAGGCATTTCTCGTTATCGGATATAAAAAATGGAACCAAGAACTTCAGTGAATCACATGTTATCGGTGTCGGAGGATTCGGCAAGGTTTATAAAGGTACTATAGATGGAGGGACTAAAGTTGCTATCAAAAGATCAAACCCGTCTTCGGAACAAGGCGTTCACGAATTCCAGACCGAAATCGAGATGCTCTCGAAGCTCAGGCACCGGCATTTAGTCTCGTTGATCGGATTTTGCGAAGAAGACGGGGAGATGATATTGGTGTATGATTATATGGCTAATGGGACATTAAGGGAACATTTGTACCGGACTAATAAGCCTCCCTTGTCTTGGAAGCAAAGATTGGAAATATGCATTGGAGCTGCTAGAGGACTTCATTATCTTCACACTGGGGCAAGGCATACCATCATACACAGAGATGTTAAGACTACAAACATTTTATTAGACGAGAATTGGGTCGCGAAAGTTTCCGATTTTGGACTATCGAAAACCGGTTCGAATCTTGACCGAACTCACGTAAGTACAATGGTGAAAGGTAGCTTCGGTTACTTGGACCCTGAATACTTTCGTAGACAACAACTGACCGAAAAATCCGACGTCTACTCCTTTGGAGTAGTCCTGTTCGAGGTATTGTGCGCAAGGCCAGTACTGGATTCGAGCTTGGCGAAAGAACAAGTTAGTCTGGCCGATTACGCTCAGCATTGCCAAAGGAAAGGAACACTCCATCATATCATCGATCCACATCTCAAGGGAAAGATTAACCCGGAGTGCCTTAAGATATACACGGAGATAGCCGGAAAGTGTTTATTGGATCAAGGGATCGATCGACCTTCGATCGGCGACGTGCTTTGGAACCTCGAGTTCTGCCTTCAATTGCAAGAAAACCCGGGAGGAGTCGAAGTGGCTGAAGATAAGGCCAATGATGCTTATGAGACACATACATCAACGATCTCCGTCTATGAAGAGACAGCTAACAAAGAAGTCGATTCGACCCAATCGAATCCTTTCTCAATGATGGTGGATCTCAAAGGAAGATGATACATATGCTACTCCGACCCGACCCCGAGTTCCGTATGTTTGAACAATCATATCCGTATCCATGTAAAAACATCTCGGATACGGATATAGATGTTAGATACGAGTATTTTAAGAAAAATGGATCAAACTCTACTAGGCTCTTGAATCAGTGACTGAATTGTTCCTCAGACAAACATGTTCCTTTTTTTTAAAAAATGTACATTGAATACTAGAACATTTAACCCTAGAAATGACCAAATTTAATCACTAATGAATGGATGAACGTGAAGAGAGAGAAAAGCCGAGAAACCGGGGAATCTGAAATACTTCGTTTTCGCATTTGATCAATGACCAAATTGTAACAAGTCAATAACGTAAATGATCGAAACATAATCTTTTAAATTCCGATGACGAAAATTGAACAAAATTGAAACAAAAGTGACTCTAACGTTAGATTACCCTATACTCGCACAATTAGGAAAAACAAAAAGAAAAACTCTAATTCCATCTTTTCTCACCATGAGAGTCAGTCGTCAATCGTCATAAGAGGGTTGAGGACGAACTTTGACTGCACTAATCCATTGATGGAGGTTTAACACGACGCGCTGCTCAATCTTAGCTAGCAGACAACGAAGAAGAATCACATCATCTTCTCTTTAGTTTCTCTCTCTCTTTCCCTTCGATGTATTCAATGATTGGTTTATAATTTCGAATGATTTGAACCCAACCATAAACTAATTAAATTAGCTAGGGTTGTTGGGTTTAAAATGCTGTGTTTGGATTATATTTTTCATGGTATTTTAATTTATTTAGATGTTTATTCAACATTTATGTTCCATTGTGAGTTAAGTAGTTTAAACATAAATGTTTGATTCTTATTTATTTACTTCATTTAATTTATATTAAAATTCTTACTAGTTATGTCTATTTGCTTAATTGTTATCTTGTTTCCGAATCATTATCTTATTTGGTTTTCCTCGGTACATTCTGAGATGAAAGATTAATTTATTTGAGATTTTGATAATTGATTAAGGCATGCATGAAGACAAGCATCGAATAAGTGAGGGAAAATTTGATGAATGTTTTATTTGGTTAATATTTTATTATTAATTAATCCGTGTTAACTCCTTTTATAGTGCTAATTTGGGTTATTTATGTTCGAATTTATGATGTACTCTATTTTCTAAGAAACAACAATTAAAAGGTGAATTAAAGAGATTTTCCTTTTTTTTTGGGAGAAGCTGACGCCAACTCTGTTTAGAAGATCAATCCAAGCACAATTCTTTAGGAATTAAAAGCTGTAATTAAATTCAAACATCTTAGATTTTATTATTTTGCTTAGGATTTTAATTGTTTATTTTAGGGTTTTTAGTTTAGTATTTATTAGGAATTTAAGTGTTTTAATTTTCTTGAGGATTAGTAATTTATTTTCATTAGGTTTTCTCAATATATAAATACCCTTCGGGGTGAAGCTTGACGGAAGTAAAAGTTTAGAATTCAGTATAGAATTGGTTCTGCTTTTTTTTTTCTTCTTCATCTTCTTTTTTCTACAACCAAGCATGAATTCTAACATGCTTGGCTAAACTTTTCTTTAGCTGACGGCTAAGCGAAGACTCAATCCATTCTCGTGAGAATTACAGAAGCCCTTTATATCTTCAGATTTCTTTCTTGATTTTCGGCATACAAGGGGGAGGCAATCAGCCTTCCTTCAAACATCTTAGCACTTTCAATCCAAAAAGCGTGCGTTGGTTTGATCGAAGTTTTGATCTACAGTTGGGGAGGATAATCGACTTGTAGCAAGTTCAATTCCCTAAGAACAAGCTTAGCGGCAGTCCGCTAAGGGAAATCAAGATCGGGTTCGATTCTCATTGAGACACCATAATCCGAGAACGAACTTTTCCAGTTCTTAAACCAACATTGGCGTCAATATCGATAGTCGATATTAATCCAAACAAGTGCTAGATTTCGAGGATTGGCTTTGGAAATTAGTTAACTAGAGAAAATAGCAATTTACAATGGTTGGTTCTTGTAGACTGTAACCAACGAGTATCCGAAGTAAAATCTATTTCAGTGATCGAGACAGATTGAAACGAAGCGAAGCTAAAGGCTATTTCTTATCATTGATTTTTCTACAATTTACTTTTTCTATTTTTATTGTTTTTACTTTAGTTTTATTTAATTTAATTTACTTGGTTATTATAAACCCTCCATTTTTTAATTTTCTTGTTTTATAGATTTCTTGGTTAAAGATCAATTCATATTGATATTAAAAATTTCCAAATCTCAGTGGACCGACACCCTTCTTCTCTATACTACGTTCTTAACATAATTATCCAAGAAAAATAATTAATTATTTCACAATTACGACGTTTGTTAGCGCTAAGGAGAGACACCAATGGCCTCAACGACACCATGGTCAAGGGGGGCATCATCTAATCTGCTATGTTTCTTGGCATTTACGGTTGGGGTCTCGAATGTGATCTTAATATTACATTTCTCCACCAGTTATTATTTAATTTAAATTAAAAAAATCTTTCGATCTAATTTTTGTAATAAAAGTTTATATTTAACCCAATTGAATATATATATATATATATATTCTTTCAATTTTTTTAAATTTTTTTTAAATTTACAGAGTTTTAGGGGATAATTGAGTGATTGAAAACAAACGCTCGATATTAAAATAGGAAATAAAAATATATTTAATTAAAAAAATAAGATAATTTCACATGTTTATTTTCACTCATCCATCAGTCTTAAAAAATATAAATTTTAAAAAAAATTGCATTAGATGAAAGTAGATATCAAACATTGATATTCACTACTATTTTATAAGGTAAAATTCATAAATATACATTAAACTATATCAAAATGATCCTTTTAGACATCAAACTCTCAAATGTTATATAATAGAAAATTATAGATTTTGTTATAAAGTGGGCACAACGCCATTATCTATTATTAAAGAGATGATGTGGCATGCGAAAGTAATAGAAAACATTGAATCACACGCAGTCGGTGTGGGTGCTCGAATGTCACTTATTTTTGTTGCTTCTTCTGGCATTATTGAGTGTCAATATGTCGTTCTCAACTCGAAGATCATCGTCGTGATTTGTTTGTGTTGCGTTCTATCCTTACCGAAGCTCGGGCCACTCTTAACTTGTATGCAAACTTCCTTGTTCAACACATGCGTTGATCGGTCAATGATGCGACGAATGCCCTCGCTCGCAGGGATGGGCATTGGGCAGGGGTCGGGTTTCGGCCAACCCGACCCGACCCGAAAACTTTACATCCTTCACCCGACCCGACCCGAAAAATATATATCATCTACCCGACCTGAACCCAACCTAACTTTTTGAGATAAAATCTAAAACCGATCCGGCCCGAAATAATAAAAAAATATTATTTTTATTCAATAAAAATAGTGATTTAATTGGGGGAAAATATATATAGAGGGGTATTATTGTAATTATTCATAAATATATAAGGTAAAATTATATTTTTTCAGGTCGGTCGAGTGGGATATTTTTCACCCTAAACTCGAATTCGAACCGATCCGAACATCACCTTAAAAAAACCTGACCCGACTCGACCTGAACCCAATTTGTTTTATAAAAAAACCCTACCCGATCGGGTCGGGTTCGAGTCCCATGCCCATCCCTACTCGCTCGTTATGCTTACACAACCTCCTTAATGTTAGGAGACATTTGGTTCGCAGAAAATATAATTATCAAAAGAATTTTTTTTTTTGAATTGCATTCCCACGAACAAATTCTTAAGTACTAGATAATTCCCACCGTTTTGGACAATAATACCTCTAAACTAATGAATTCTTTTATAATGATCCTTCTCGATTCTCATTTTTATCATTTACTCAAAATTATAAACATGATAATAATATTCAAAGAGTTTAATTTAGTAAAATATCAATAAATTTGATTATTAGAATTATTTTATATTTTTAATATTCAATATATTAATTATTTATCATTTATGATGTGACAAATAATATTATTGTAAAAATATAATTATTTAAATTGATATCTAACTTCAAGTTATTAAAAATAGATCTTATACATTAAAAATTATATCTTTGTCAACTTGAGATCATAAATTATTTTTTTCATATTATATTTATATAAATAGATACGATACTTACGAAAATTATTTAAAAATATAAGTTCAATTTACTAATTATATATTAAATGTATTTTTTTATAAAAAAATTAGATAATATAATAATTAAAATATTTCTATGACTTATCATTCAAATATTTATAATTTTATATTAAAGTTTAACTCTTTAAATATATATATATAGATCACAAGGATAATTAAGTAAAACATGCATTCAAAAGTAATTTTATATCCGTCTAACTAAACACTATAATTTTACATTTTTACTAAATAAAGAAAACAGTATAATATAATATTTCAATAATAATATTATATTATAGTAATATTATTTCTAAAAATAATTTTATATTCCGTAAACTAAACCCCATACAGTTTGATTATGATATTTCTGTTTGGATTCGTGAAATTGTTTATGTTTTTGAATATATTGTTATTTTCAAACAAACAAAAAATGGAATTATGGTAGAGGGTTACAATTGTTAGAAACAAAGATACAGGGAGTTTCAGAGCAATTAAACCAACGAACATAATCACCATGCATTATGGAACATCCACAATCCTCACCGTTCGATCTCAATCAAAATCCTTCCGGTTCTCCATCGAGCGGTTTCAAAAAGATCGGAACACCATACGCCAAAACACCAACCGTGTGCTCCCCCAAAGACCTTTTCCGGATCTCGTCCCTGTTCTTTCACTAAACTCACGCTCCTTCCGTTTTCCATCTTCATCGATTCCCTATTTATTCCCCTGTTCTCCATTCTTGAAGCCGGAAAAAACACTGCGATTTTCTCAGCAAAATTCTTCACAGATCGATCCGTAAGAGGAAAAAAGCATTAGACAAAAAATCTAAAAAGCCCCCTTAGCAAGAAGAGAGAGAAAGAGAGATGGCGGCGGCAGAACGGAGAGTCGGGGTGGCTATGGACTTCTCGCCGAGTAGCAAGAATGCGTTAAAATGGGCGATGGAAAACGTTATCCGGAAAGGGGATCATCTTATCCTTATTATCATACGGCCCGAAGCGCATTACGAGAAGGGCGAGATGCAGCTCTGGGAAGTCACCGGTTCACGTATATTATCTTCCCTTCTCCTGTTTTCTTTTTCGGAAAATTATTTAAATGATGATCCAACTTTTAGGGAGTTAATGTTTTGGTCACTAATTTTTTGGAGTGCTAACGTTTCGGTTACCCAGACATTAAACCTCTAACAATGATTAATGCTTCAATTATCCAACTTTCAAGCTCTAACAATTTGATCACTCAATCCCCTCTCCATATTTTTACAACTAAACCATTGAGTTTCTTGATAAATATATAACATATTAGTAATGTTTGTGTTGAATGAGCATTTGTTGATCTATTTATTGAAGCTTTTATCCCTTTGATGGAGCTGTCCGATGCTGCTATCATGAAGAAGTATGGAGTCAAGCATGACCCTGAAATCGTAGACTTCGTTAGCGGCGTTGCTAAGGAAAAAGATGTAACATTTCTTCACCCCAAATCTTTCATCAACTTCAATCATGAGTTTAGTAATAAAAATATTGATTTTTTTTAAAAAAATTATGAATAGATTTTTTGAAATATTATTATAAATAGGGTTATTTTTTTATGAAAACTAAAATACATATTTAATATAACTTATAATAACAATTTTTTTAATCTTCAAAACTTATATATTCTATTGTTATTGTTTTAATTCGAAGCAATGTAATATTTTTAGGAGGAAAATAAGTAATTTAAGAGAACAAAAAAGATTAAAACGATGGGATTTTTAAATATTAATTTACTGGATTATTTAAAATAAAGATCAAATTTATAAACTATATAAATTTTAAGGATTAAAATTATTATTATATCAAATCATATCATTATTAAGTTTAATATTTAACGATACAATTATTTATAAAATATTCTAATCAAATAAAACGATTATTGTGGAATTTACAATTAAATGTATTAAGAAATATATTTATTTATTTATTTTTCTGAAAATTGTGTATGATTGTCAGGTTGATGTTCTGATGAAAGTATATTGGGGTGATCCACGTGAGCAGTTATGTGAAGCCATTGACGCTATCCCTCTCACCTGCATGATTGTAGGAAATAGAGGCCTCGGCAAGCTTAAAAGGTCTAAACATTTCATCAAATAAATTTTTTTGATAGCATATTAAAATTTTGATAAATACAAAAGATAAAGTACACAAATGGTCATTCGACTACATGACATTACTTATTGAGTCTCCTGACTATTTTAAATGTTACAAAATAGTTCATCGACTATAAGACGTTACTTTGTTGAGTCCCTCGACTATTAAAAGTTACAAAATGATTACCTGATTATTCATTATGTTCCAAGCAAGTCATTTTCTGTTGAAAAATTAATGACAATTTGAGTTGGGTATCAATCTATTGTATGAGATATGATAGTTGTTTAAGATTCTAAAATCAGATTTTATCGTATCTCAGACAGTAGATTAATATCCAGCTCAGACTATCGTCAAATTTTTAACAAAAATGGATGAATATGGAATAAGAAATAATCAGATGATCATTTTGTAATTTTAATAGTATCTTCAATTTTTTAACAAAAAAGGACGAATATGGAATAAGAAATAATCATGTGATCAATCTATTGTATGAGATATGATAGTTGTTTAAGATTCTAAGATCAGATTTTATTGTATCTCAGACAGGAGATTAATATCCAGCTCAGACTATCGTCAATTTTTTAACAAAAAAGGACGAATATGGAATAAGAAATAATCAAGTGATCATTTTGTAATTTTTGATAGTTGGGGGACTCAACAAAACAACATCCTATAATCTAAAGACCATTTTATAAATTTTGATAGTCAATGGACTCTATAATCAATATCCTATAGTCGGGGACGATTTGCATGTTTTACCCAAATAGAGAGAACTCTCGTACGGGATATTAAGACAAAAAAATATTTAAATAATATGATAAATTAAAATGTAAATGTCGTATATAAATATATTCAATTTCAGGGCTATAATGGGGAGTGTAAGCAACTATGTGGTGAACAACGGTGCCTGCCCTGTGACTGTGGTCAAGAGCCATGACTAAGGTGCTGCGACTCTTGCTCCGATAACGTTTTTCGGGCGACAATTTTCGGTTTCCGGCGTGTTTGACGTCTTTGCATGGGATAAAGAACTAATGTTTTTTATTAAAAAAAATAAGCTTTGCATATTTATAGCAATTTCCTTTTTGTCTTTAAGATTTTTTTAAAAAGTTCATTTTAGTGATTAAATATTTTTTGAAAAAATTGAATTTTTTTCTGAATTGAACCAATTAATGGTAAAAAGTAATAGATTTTTAATAATTTGTGTGTGTATATATATATATAATTTCGTATTTTTCTAATCTTATAGTTATTATTTTTAATAAAAAAATTAATTTAGTTTCATGTTAAATCCTAGACTGTATAAGTTCGAATTTCACGTAAGATTTTCTTATTATCCTTATTTTCTTACCAATAGGATGATAAAACGCGTATCTATTTTAAGTGGTGAATTCAGAAATATTTTTTAAGTTGAATACATACATATTAACAACGTAAATCTTTAAATAGGACGAGTATAAATAAAATTGCAGGGTGGGTACCGTCCATAAAATAAATAACTAATCTAAGAAAAACTTATATTTTAGGATGTATACTAAAATTTCAAGGTGAGCACCATTAGTAAAATAAATAATTAATCGAAAAAAATTCAGATTTCAAGATAGATACATACCCTGACCAAGCCGTGGCTCCGCGGTTGTATCTTATTAGATATTGATTTATTAAAGAAAACGATATATGAATGTACCACATCAGCTCAACTGTTATTAACTATGTATGGACATGGTGATCAAAATGAAACTTTTCCTCAATGATTGTGACTTTAATAATTTTTTCAATTATAATAGCCAAAGTGAAATGTATTAAACTTTTAGTGACCATTACTAAAGTTAATCCTTTACCAAAGAAATCTTACGGCTTAGTTACTTTAGGAGAGAAAAAAAATAACTAAAGTATGCCCTCTTTTTATTTAATTTAAGTACATAAATTATTTTTTTTATCAAAATAAGTATTTATGATTATTGTTTTAATCAAAATAAGTACTTAAATTATTTTTTTTTTAAAATAAATACTTAAAGTATTCATTTTTTATATAAGTATCTAAAATAACATGTCAACATTTTTATAACTTAGATGAAAATTTTTGAATAATTTAAGTACTTATTTTAACATAAAATACTTTTAGTATCTATTTTGACAAAAAAAAACTTTATATACTTACATGTAAAAAAATTTGGTATACAAAAGGACTTATTTGTGATATAAGAAAAAAAAGGAAGTTATATAAGCTAAAAAAAATGAAAGAAAGAAATTGAAAATAAAAATGGAGCGGAAAATATAAGAAGGAAATTCATAGTTGCAAACTTGCAGTATATTTTACCAAAGCCATTTCTGGAAGAGCAAAACCCTCTGCTGACATTCGTCGGCCTTAATATACGGTTTAAAAATAGTGTTACAGGTTCTATTATTATTTAAATAAAAAAACTAATAAAAAAATGATCAAAAATATTATTAAACGCTATTAATTTTATTATTATTAGACGTTTTATCGGATTTGATAAAAATGACATAAAATATTATTAAACGCTATCGATTTTATTATTATTAAGTATTTTTACTAAAAATATTAAAAAATAATATTTTAAATAAAAATAATAATATTTTAAATAATTTTTTATCAATTTTATTATTTAAAAAATAATAAAATCGATAACATTTTATTTTAACCTTATACTAAATTGCTGAACTGTATAACTTCCGGGTCTTTTCAGTCCTTGTAATTAGATAAGTGTTTGCATTTATTCTTTATTATTTTCTTCATTTTTTGTTACCTTTTTCTTATCCTTTGTTTGTTTAGTAGGAAAATCTTGTAGTAAGCTACTAAGCTTTGATTTTCAAATTTGTAAACTCTGAAGCTAGTTTCTTGGGAAATATAATCTTTTTCTTAAGCTCCAAGTTGTAGTTTTAGGGTAAAAAATGCAGTCTTTGAGAAATTTCTACCATAATAAGACGAGACTTATATAGGACCAAATACGAGTAAATAAGTGTGAGATTTAAAAATCTGCTGAAATTTCTACATTCCCTTTTCATTTATTGCAAACATGATTATTGAATTTCTTTGTGGTTTCCATTGCTTTGTCTATTTTGAGCTTTCTTTTGTCATTTGCCGTTCAAAGAGTTGGATTCCGTGGCCATTATGGAAAGCATTGGTGGGTCGGAGTTAGCCGTCGCCGGTTGTTTCGTTAAGAAGAAGAGGCGTGGCGTTTCAAGCCGGCGGCGCGTGACTCCGCAGCTGTTTACTCATAGTTACATTTTAATGTCATCACCAACACCAACCATAAGTTGTAGTGGCAGTGAAGAGCAACATTTTAAGAATGGTTCTAATGGATTTGGATTCATGTGAGAATAAGCTGAAACTTAAGCCTGCTTATATCGTTTGTATAGAATTTGCTCATCATGATCTTCAATCTATTGTTGAAATGATCCTTCTGTATTCCATTTATCACTTTTACTTTTGGCCATATACGCATGTGTTTGAGCTTTAAATGGTAAAAGTCGTAAAATTGTTTGTTTTATAAATGATCATTGATTATAGAACAAAAAGAGGAACTTTCTGAGGTGGAGCTACAGTCGAAGAAGGCCGAGGCTGCACAGAGACGAAGAATGCAGTCCGAGAAAGCGGCCAGGGATGCTGAGGTTGTACCTGTTGCTTCTCTTGCTCCTTTGATTAATTTTACTACTGCTTCACTATCATTCTAGAAATTGTGTTTAGTAGGGTCTTTGAATTGTCTTTAGGCTGAGGCAATCAGAAAAAATACTGAGTCAAGATTCTGAGGGAAAGAAAAAGGAGGATGAGATGAAAAAGCAGCGGGACGAATTGGCACATATCCGTGGCCTTTTCGAGGTATCATGCAGCTTGCCGTCTGGTTTGTCGAATTCTCATTCATTTCGATGTTGTAATCTGTCTACCGCAGCTATATTTTCTGAAGACATCGGTCTACCGCAGCTATTCAATTCGGTGCCATGCCGTCAAGGTACTCTTACAAATCTGCCTGTCTCATGCTTTTGACGACTTATATATGCTTTTACTGGTAATTTCGCTGTGTAATTTATGCATTTCTTTACCCTCTAGTTATCCCCGATCCGAATTGTACAAATACATACAAGTATCGAGATTCCAAGTCGAAGCTTCCATTATGCAGTCTTGGTTGCTACAAAGCAATACATGAACAGGCTCAACCTTTGATTGCAGGTTGAGATTTGTCGCCCCGACCGATGCGGAAGCCAGAAATGGTTCCGTTATATCATTTGCGAGATGACAATTGAAGGTGACCATTGATGTATGCCGTTTTTCTCTTCTAATGTTCGAGCTCGAGCTACGACGAAGTGACCGGACTCCCTTTTGAAGTCTTGTTTGTTTGCGAACAATGTATTCATGGACCTAACCACGGTAACAATGTATTCAATTCTTTTTCTATTGTACTTATTTGTTTTATTTTTAACGACGACGGGTCATTTATATAGACGTGCCGCTTGTTATAAATCTAGAATATGAAATAGAAAATGTGTTCATACTTAGTTCAAAGTATTATTTTATTATATACTACATATAATTAAGGACAAAATGCAAGTCAATTGCTTGGTTGTCAACCTCAAAGCTCCAGCCTCTGTTGCAGGCTGCATTGTACGATCTCATTTCATGCCCTATTCGAAGTTTTACTTTATGATTATTCAAAGCAATTTGATCTCTTGTGTCTTGTTTTGCTTACCATTCTATGTTCTTCTTAGTGATTGTAACCATGCATTTGTCTGATTCATTACATCCCCGACAATGCGATATCAGGTAGGTCGTGACATGTAAATATTACTCCGACACTTCATTTTTTTGATGTCTAAAATATCCGAATCGGTCATATATTTGAAAAAGAAATTTGTTCATATTCGATTTCGAGTAACATGGTTTGGTTACCGTAAATGATGCAGGCAACCTTGGAAGCATCAAAATCTTCTTGTTTACAGCATAGAATTACTTGAAATTGTTGACTGCTTTCTATTGAGTTTCATTCGTCGTATTAGTTTCCATTGCTGCATACCATGGGGAATGATGTGTGTTTTTGGGATGACTTTAATATTTATGCAGCTCCAGATAAGTTGAGTTCTTCGGGCAAAGAATTCTAGAGTTTTAACGTCGGAAATAATGGGAAACAAAATGGATTTTATAGAGCTGAAGAGTCAGGTGAAATGGGAGCAGTTGATTCCTTTCCTTGTTATGGAATCTATGGAGACGAATCAATGGTTGCCACAGGTTTCGGTTTATCGAAACAAGATCCGCAACAGCAGCAACAGAATTTTAAGGATTATGGTTTTCTTGATGGAGTGAGTTTCAATGCTCAATCTCTATTGATTCCGACGTGTTTCGATGAAATGGCGGAGCTTGGTCAGATCAACTATGGAGTCTGTGAGGATATTGATGGGGCAAAGAAGGGGAACCAGCAGCCTGTGTTTGTCTTTGCTTGGACTGCTGAACAACTACGGCAACGGATTCAAACGTTTTCACGGGGAAAGAATAACCGACGATGATATAACCGTATCCGCCCCGAGATAAAAAAAATTCAACAGAAGAAATCATGAGGATTTCTGGAGAGATGTTTGTAAAGTCATGTGGCCAAACTGTTGACGGAATCTTCATGATTGATCATCCTTTTAATGCTTCTTTTTCAGGATTGTCGGACCAGGAGACGAGGGATGTCGAGCTTGCCGTGCTTCTTCTAGCTGCTGCAGAGAAAATAGGGTACCAACAATATGAAAGTGCAAGCAGATTGCTGAGACAATGTGATTACATGTTGAAAACCGGGTATCAGATTCAGCGAGTGGTCTATTATTTCTCTGAAGCGCTTCGAGAGAAGATCGAAAGAAGTTCGTCCAAGGGTTTAAAGTGGAAACCATGGTTCAATATCGATGAGGCGATGATGACCATGAAACCCATTGTATTGGCATGCCATCAAGAGTTTCCTTTTGCTAAGGTTACACAATTTGC